CTCAGAATAAAATCACTGTGTGGGGATCCATGTACTTGCTGGGGGCCACCCAGCTGGAAAGCAGCTTTGCAGAAAAGGACCTGGTAACCTGGTGGACATCAAGTTGAACACGAACCAACAATGTGCCCTTGCAGCAAAGGTTGTTAAAGGTGGCTTGGTCTGCATTAGGCAAAGCACTGCCAGCAGGTCTATAGCCTGTTTATTGTCTTGTGTCTTTAGTCTGGCCTATCTGGCCATAAGTACCCCAGAAGTCCTTTTTCTTTCCTATTGCTCATTGTTATCAGACCCAGCTACTCCTTATTAAAGTGTCTAGGATTTCATGTGAAATGTGAAATTATTCCTACTTGATCTGCAAAACCTGTATCACAGCTTTCTTGCAGTTGTTAACTCAGAATAAAATCACTGTGTGGGGATCCATGTACTTGCTGGGGGCCACCCAGCTGGAAAGCAGCTTTGCAGAAAAGGACCTGGTAACCTGGTGGACATCAAGTTGAACACGAACCAACAATGTGCCCTTGCAGCAAAGGTTGTTAAAGGTGGCTTGGTCTGCATTAGGCAAAGCACTGCCAGCAGGTCGAGGGAGGTGATCCTTCCCCTCTACTCTGTGCTGGTGAAGCCACACCTGGAGTACTGTATCCAGTTCTGGGTTCCCTTAGTACAAGAAAGACATGGGACATGCTGGAGTGAGTCTAGCAAAGAGTCACTAAGGTGGTCAAGGGACTGGAGGGTGCTCCAGTCCTCCAATGAGGACAGGCTGAGAGAGCTGGGACTGTTCAGCATGAAGAAGAAAAGTCTCAGGGGGATCTCATCAATGTATATAAATACCAGCAGGGAGTGTGTAAAATAGTATTTTCTTCTTTTCCCAGAAAGAAAACAAAGCCTTGTGCACTTGTTCATGCTTACAGAGGCAGAAGGTGATAGTTCTGACCCATGTTTCCTTCTTCTGAAGGCCAAGAAGCCAAAGTAAAATGGCATATTCCACATACCTAGTTATGATAAAGCTCACTTGGAGTCAGTCTCCAATGTGCTTGTTATTTTAGTTTTGTACCCTCTCATTACTTCTACAGGGACTAAATGTCATTCTGTTATGAACCATTTTACCTTACAGTGGTACTGATCAAATTTCAAACTTAACCATCCCTCCTGCTAATACAAAGACAAGGGCAGCTAAGATGGGTCTGCTGACTATTGCAAGCTTTTACGGCACCATGGAGACTTGCCCTAGCAGACCTTGACAGGCTAGTAGGAAAAAAACAAACAAAACAAACAATTTGAATAAATGCGTTAGTATGTGGCTGCCCAGTTTGGGAAAACCTTGCCGCTGTTCTGGGCTATCCCAGCAGAAAATGGAGAAGTAAAATAAATAGCAGTAGGACAGACCCATAATACCTATGTGGGTCAAGGCTTCTCCTTGCTATTTTCAAATTTATTTTGAGAACTTTTCAGCCCTACTGTTACTCATGTAGAGAGGATGCAAGTGGCATGTGCCCAAAGCATCTGAGAGGAAGACCTCTCCTTTGCCCAACATAGAGGAGATCTAAGAACTCCTTCTTGTGATACCTGGTGAATCTTGAGTGAACCTGATCATCGGAGGGTTAATAAAGTCACCAAGCCCAGGAAACACAAGGCTGTATTGGAGCAGTGCTGGGGTTTTTCTGTGGGGAAGTACCTGCAAATGGAGGAAATTGTCTGCTTGATTGTGTTCAAATGGCATCCCGGTTTCTACTTGTGTTAATGTCATCAGAAGATGTATTCGTTTTATGTGTCTTAAATCTCCCTGAGCAATTGCAAGCCTGTTTACTTCCAGCAATGGCTCCAGGGACTCTAGACCTTTTCCTTTTTCCTTTGCCAAAGTGCAGAATTGGAGTGGTGGGAAGTGAGGGAGAAGAGGGGGTTTGATTCCTGTGAGGCAAAAGTAGTTTGACTGAAAATAAAGTCCTGCCTTTATCAGTACAAACTGTCATGCGGTGAGGTCTAAGGTGATGTGTAAATTCTGAGTTAGTTAACTATTTCCAGCTTTTTAATTTGGGCGTACTTGAAAAGTTATTTTCTGAATGACATCTTTCAAGATACTAAGAACACTTGCACCGTCTACCCTTTTCTTCCTCTCCCTCCTTGACCCCTATCTTCCCATCCAAAGACTTTCTCGAGCAAATTTTTTGTAGTTTAAGAAATCCACCACAGGCAACCTGAGGCATTCTGTATCCTAGCATACAAACATAAAGGCATCTCTGACATTGCCTAACAGTTTTACCAAGAGAAAAAACCCGTATTTGCTGTTCAGTTGTATGGTGTCCACTCACATTGTTGAAGCCAAAATATTTAATTATTTCAGTATGGGCAAAAGTTATGCTTCTTGGAAAGCAGCTACATATTTCCCATTGCACCAAAGCTATCTAAGCATGTTTTGTGACTGTCTTTGTTCCTGCAGCTGGGATGCATATAGTGCATTCGGGCTTATTGCAGGCATAAAGTCACTTTAAAAGACTAGACTGTAAATCATAGATAACTGTGTGCTAATAGCAGATAGCTGTGTGCAAATAGGGACAGGTGGAGGGTGGCAGCTTTGGCTGGAGAGTATTTATGATTCTCTCTATAAAGTGTTTATATAACTGAGAGCATTAGCCACCTCTGCCCCAAAATGTTAACTGCCTGGGTGTGAAGGGCAGCTGTGTGCTACTCAGTCCAGCAGCTTCTTCCCCTTGGGTTGGGGCCCCCTTCACACCTCCAGACCTCAGACGCTGGCGGATCTTAACTTAACTGTATGTACTGGGAAACTGAGCTCATTAGCTCAGGCTGAAGGTGGAGTAATGCAATGAGATAATGGCCCAGTGACAATGGAAACAGATACTTCGGTGTGTCTCTTATGAGATCAGTTGCTCTGTGAGGAAATAACAATGAAAAAAAAAATCCAAGTCTGCTTATAGCATGGAAAATGACTGGAGAACTGGTGTTTGATAGAACATTTAGTGCAGTGTTTCTGGGCAGTGGAAGAAGTCAAGGCATCTTTTCAGGGCTAATAGATCACAGATTGTGTCTATCGGGTACTTTGGATGTCCTTTGGGACTTTTAGGAAGTTCATCTGCAGACCATAGCAGAAATGAATGAAGTTACTTTGATTGCTCTCTACTCAGATGAGCTCTTGTGATCCATTGTAGCTGCCTCAGATATTTTTTTTTTTTTCGGAAGGGGCTGGCATTGTGCGTTTACTTACCTGCTCTCGACCTGCCCGTTCTGGGGCTACTTCTCATTTCAACACTATTTTCTTATGACAAATGACTGCCTTGGTGAGAACTCTCACTCCTTTTCTCTCCAGAGCCTGTAGGCTATGGAAAGACACTGCACGCAATTTTGTACATACATTGAGTTTACCACGAGAAAAATCTAGTTCTGTACTTTCATTCACTTTCAGTGCTTCTCCTTTTATCTTCTATAATAGCTTGTGTGTTGAAAGTGCATTTTTAATTAAATTGTTTGGATCTTGTATATGCACAATACATTCACTTTGAGGGCATCTTTATTACAGTAGGAGGGTGGTGATATGTAATAAGTCTCAAGAATAATTAAAACCTGTGTTAACTTGTATATGTTTTCAGTAGCGATTGAACTTTGTGTTGAGTCTTTGCTGGGTCCAAGATCAGATCCTAATCAAGTAGGAAGGAAGGAAGGGGTCACAAGGGAAGGAAGAGTTGGTTGTAGGTGCCTCTCTAAGTTCTTACCAATTTCAGATAAACCTCCTTTGTCATGTTTATTTTAAAAAAAGTATACTGCCTCCAATTTTAGGTATTTAGATCAAGATAGTTTTTGTGTTCAACACTTATTGAGGAAGAAACACAGAAAGTGGAATAATGTTACAAATTACCTTTTGGAGGCACCTTCACCTCTCTTGTATATGGATGTAGCCTCAGAGTTTTGTTCAGATAACCTTGGTTTACACTGAAGGGAAAAAGCAGAGTAACCTGAGAAGCCTTTAACTGCAGCATGATGTGACAGAGCAAAGATTTAAAGAACTAGGGATTTCTAGGAGAGAACATGATAAATATTTTTTCTCTTTTACTTCTGAGAGGTAGAAAGACATGTCAGAATTGGCAAGATGCATTGTTTTGATCTGAAACTTTGACTTTCTGCACTAAAGAGTCATTAAAGTTTTTATCAATGTGTTTTCTACAGTCTAGTTTTGGAAAGGCAGGAGAGGCTGGGTCTTCCAAGTCTCTTCCTACAAAAAGTGAAGATGGTTAATAATTCTTGAGCACGTGAAGACCTGAACAGATGATAAGAAATTGACTTGTTGAATCTGTGGAAATGCCAATGACTACACTTGCTTCCCTAAATCATTGCAAATGAGTGCTTTGCATTCATCAAGGCATACTAGATTTAAAGATGGGATAAGAAAGGGGCCTGATTCAAGGACAATGATTGGAGTCCTGTTGGATGAAATACTTCAGGAAAGTGTTAATTTGTCTGCTGAAAAGTACAGTTTTATGTTGGCTTGTAGATGGTTTGACTTTGCCGGGGACAGCAGGTGAATTAACATTAATCGCACTAGCTTTGCCAAGGATTCTATGACGTCCTGCTCATACCCCAGTCAAGCTGAGGCATGTAACAGTGTTTTGAAATGGATAGTAGTTCTGAAGATGTCCCTAATATTAAACCAAATTCAAGAACTGCACTGGAGGTTAAATGCTAGTTCAGTCTGGAGTAGTGTTTGGTCTCTGGAAGAGATCCATTTGGGTTAAATTGGTAAATCAAGTAAAAGCTTATCTAGTTAAACCCCCCTATTGAAATGTCAGAGCACCTGCACTACTCTTTCTTAGGTGAAGCAAGTTTTTAATATTTCATAAAATTATTGTTAATGAATATACTAGGCTAGTCTTCACAAAAAAACTTGAGTGATTATTTTGAAAGTATGAACAAAGGGAGGAAACCTGAGAGGGACAGATACATTACTTTTTGAGGCTGCTAGGATTTTCCAAGGATGACTGTAAACTTTTTTCTTACAGGTTGTGTCAAATGCTGCTGGACAGGGGGTTGCCATCACTGGGAACAATACTTTCAACAACTGGAATTGGCCTAACGCAGTGATCTTTGCTGCTACTGTGATCACTACAATCGGTAAGTATTTATTATTATCAGCTTTCCTAACTGTAGCTTTCAGTATGCTCTAGTGTGTTTGTACTCTTCTATTTATGTGTCAAGCTAGCCACTGAATAAAGTCTCCATGGCTGGAGTTGCCTAGAGTACGTGTTCACCTGCAGGTTCAAAGAGGAAAAAAACAGTTCTTTGGCAGTCTCTCCATGGGTATACAGAAGAGAAATGTCTGCCTTTCCAATAAGTAATAGATTCAAGGTACTGTTGGGGATGATTGGTGTTATTCCGGTTCCATTAATTCCTGCACTTAAATTTCCAAATCATAAAATCCCAAAACGAAAGTGTTACAAAGCATTCCATTAAACATACTTAAAGCATGTGCATATGAGGTTCTTGTATAGCTGTCCTGTTACGCATGTGCATCCTCTTAAGCTACTGAATTACCAGTGTTCTTGGCTTGCAGAACAATCTAGACTTTTTATCTATCTATTGTTCTACTTTGCCTTCTTTAAGTGTTGTCTTCTAAATCTCACTGCTGATTTATGCTTGTGAAACCCTCTGCATTGAAAGACTGCTTCCTCCTTTGATACACAGATTTTCAGAGCTCAACATCATCTGCCTTCTGCTTTTACAGAAAAATCTTTTGCCAAGTGGCATTGCTACACCCTTGCTACACCTACAATGCAAAACAACAGGCATGCAAAATAACCAGAGAAGGCTGGAGGTATACAGAAATGGAAGTCTTACTGTTAAACCATATGCAGTACTGTGCTTTTCTTTATTATTTGAAAGTCACAATACCCAGCTAATAATATAAAACTTATGACAAAAAGTTGAAGTCAGGAACACACCTAAATAAGAAAGCTCTGGCTGAAGTTCAGAAAATAGGCTGCTGATTCTAGAGCCTGAGTTTGCAATGTCTTTTTGGGTTGTGTGACCAGCAAAGAACTAAATTCAGTTGAAATACCTTGCCTATGTCACAACTCACCTTGCACTTAACTCGCAAACGCTTACCCTGGAAAGCTACCAGGTCACAAGTTAAATGTGTACAGTGGATCTTTCATGTGGAAGCTAGCTTCAGGATGAATTTTGAGCTTTTAATCTATAAAATGCAGTCAATCAAGTTTTTAACAGTGCTGCTTAAGGTTGGGGAATCATATTGGAAGTTTTGAGATGAGCTTTATTTCATGTTTGTCTCATCTTCTTGAGAAAAAGATGCACAAAATGTAAGAAACGCTTAAAATGCAGTAATCCTCTCAGCTTGCATTAACGGAATACACATTGGCTAGAGTAGAATTGGAAGACATCTAGATTCAGATGATCGGCAGCTGGAGTAGACTGAAGCTCTTATAAATGGTGAAGTAAGGAGCATCTGATACAGCAGAAGCCCACAAAATGTTGTTTTCTGCATAGGTAGAATTGCCTTGAATTCTCTGCAACAAGAACAGACTGTGTACATACTTATCTCTTTTAGGTTATGGAAATGTTTCTCCAAAGACACCCTCTGGGCGTCTCTTCTGCATATTTTATGGGCTCTTTGGAGTTCCTCTCTGCTTGACATGGATCAGTGCTCTGGGGAAGTTCTTTGGAGGACGTGCCAAGAGGCTGGGCCAGTTTCTGACAAAAAGAGGAGTAAGCCTGGTAAGGCCCTCACTTGTTTACCCTCGTGCTGTGTGGTTTTGATGCATGAATTAAGCTTACACTTCTGAACTTACCTGCTAATCTTAGTAGTAAATGAACACTTGCACAAATAGGAGTTTTCCTGAATGGTGTTGCATAGAAATAACTGAAAGGGGGATTGGGTCTGATATGTTAGTTCTGCAAGAAGTTTTAGCAAAATAAATTATTGTAGAAACCTTTGATACTAAATATAGATCTTGCAGCTTCTGTGGGGACGTATATCTCCTTACATTAGAAACCTGTAAGACAAATGTAGGTGAGGCTCCATTTCACAGATGTTCTGTGCAAGCTCCTCTGGCATGGAAATAAGCTCTCCTGCTTTGTTCCCACCTGCTTCTATGCTAGCATGAGTACTTCCTGCTGTGCAGTGAACCAACTGGAAAATAATGTTTTGTTCTGAGTTACTGGCTTGTGGGTTTTTTGTTTGTGGCTTTTTTGTTTATTTTTTTGGTGATGGTTGTTCCCCCCCTCCCTGGCAAGTGAGTTCTATCTCAGTTCTAACTCTGCACAGAGATGGGAGGCAATGCAGGGCCATAGTGCCCGGAGAACAGTGGGACTGGTTTAGGTCCTGGTTTCAGAAACAGAGCAAGAACTTTCTTGGTTCAGCACCTGAGAAGAAAGTACACAAAATTATAGTGAAATGCACGTGTGTGTGCAGTTTTGTGCAGAGATTGCATGACTGGCAAAGGGTAGGAGGCATAAATAGGAGAGAAGCATCTTAAACACTTCTGATCCTCTATACTCAAATGAATAAAAGGAAAACCAGAGTTTCTGACTACATTTTAGACTGGACTGCTATGTCTGTATACCATGCCTGTTTATAAAATATCAGGAACTCCTTAACTTTTCAAGGGTATGAAAGAAAACTATGAGGAAATAATCAGGTTTGAGCAAGTAGTTGTAAGAATAGCAAGTTCTGCATAAAGGAAAACAAAATAGTTGTGTGTTTACTTCAGTCAGTGACTTTTAGTTATGGCTGATAAACTGTTAGCACAAAACGCTGAAATGTCTGATACTGTCGCTTGATGCCATGGATGAGAAAAGAAAATTTGGAGATCTTTCCCTGACTTTTAAATTCTTCTTTCTTTACAGAGGAAAGCACAAATTACATGCACAGCTATTTTCATTGTTTGGGGTGTCTTGGTCCATCTGGTTATTCCTCCCTTTGTCTTTATGGTGACTGAAGGATGGGATTACATTGAAGGCCTCTATTTCTCATTCATCACTATCACCACCATAGGATTTGGAGATTTTGTTGCTGGTCAGTAATTGTGTTTTATGTATTATTTCACTACATGGCTAGCATGGCAATTCTATTTCCAAACTCTAATTCAGAAAGGTGCTTTCTAAGCTTTTCCAAAACATTTCGCTGAATAGAAGATTCCATTAAAGCTGGGTACTGATCCAATGGACCAGATCTGGCTCTTCAGTCTTGGTTTAGATACCTAAGACCGTTATTGGGCTAAATCCAGAGCCAAGTTCTGGAGTTCACAGCTCCTTCGGGCAAGGAGCTATCCTATTGACCGTGACAGTTAAGCACCTTTGAATGGGATGCAGTATACTAAGTAGGGTGCATAAGTACTGGGCAATGCCTTCTGTGCAGCTATCTAGAACTAGCCAACAGGAAATGCTGAGCATACTGGTGTCTCCCTCCTAAATCTTGTCTTTCTCTAAAATCCACTGCCTTGTTCAGGGCTTTGGAGATTGTCCTTTTAAGTGGAATTCTGAATCCTTTTCTCAAGGAAGGTACCTATATCCATACCTCAATAGCAGGGAGAAGGCTCATAATTTTCAAACGGGAAGCAATTTCACTTTTGTAGCTTACAAGGAGAGGATAAATATGCTGGCATTTTATGTTGCAGTCCAGCAGTCAGAATACATGCATCCAAGAAGTATAAGACCTGAGATCAACTTTTTCTTACAGAAGGGTTTCAGATCCCTACTCGCCACCTCTCAAAGCAGTGTTCAAGCAACTAGGCTCTGTTAGTGTGGAAGGGAGTAGTTCTCAGGGTCATAACTTCAAAGGTTTATCAGCTGCAAATCCTCTTTCAGTAATGTTCTTGTTTTTAATTCTTTGTAGGTGTAAATCCAGATGCAAACTATCATGCCCTTTACAGATATTTTGTGGAGTTATGGATCTATCTGGGACTAGCTTGGCTTTCACTCTTTGTTAACTGGAAGGTCAGTATGTTTGTGGAAGTCCACAAAGCAATCAAGAAACGGAGGAAAAAAAGAAAAGAGTCATTTGACAACCATCCTCGGTCCAAAAAACCCCTTCAAATGGGTACCTCAAAGGATGTCAACATTTTCAGCTTCCTTTCAAAGAAGGAAGAGACCTACAATGATCTTATTAAGCAAATTGGGAAGAAAGCCCTGAAGACAAACAATGACAAAATGATTAAAGTAGAAAATGCCAAACAAAATATGCAGAATGCCAGTATAGATGCCCAGGTGACTTACACAAAGACAGAGTCATTTGAGTATGATGAGGTTTCCCTGGACATTCAAAATGGTCATGTACTGAGATCCCTGCAGGATAAACGTATTGGAGACAGCCCTCTAGAAGGAACCATGTTCGTAAACCAGCTGGACAGGATTAGTGAAGAAGAAGGCGAAGTGTGGGATTCCAGAGACTATCGACCCTTAATATTTGAGAATGCTAATATAACATTTGTAAATGAAGATGATGAAGAAGAGGAAGATATCTCGGATGATGAGGAAACGTCAAAATCCTCCATGGATGATAATCTTGCAGAGGAATCTGAAAGTGCAAAAAAACTGGTAAAATTCCCATCGTCTGATGAATCTACCTTTACCAATAACGAGCTAGAACTTTCTGTGCCTTATGAACAACTGATGAATGAATATAATACAGTAAACAATGTGAAGGCTGCAACGTGAAGCATGTTTGACAATGGTTTTCTGAAAGTGGTCAGTGCATCTTGAACAAATCAACAGAGCAAGGAGAAAAGCCTGTTTTTGCAGCTTCTCCTGTCTCTTTGAAAACAAAAGCAAGTCCCAAACTAATAAACTCCAGTGTCCTTTTCCCATTCTAAGTTGGTTTCTGAGCCCATCAGCTTTGCTTATCTGAAGAACTTGTAAAATAACAGTTGAATTTGGAGTCCTCCTTCTTGGGATTTTATGGTTCTTGAACAAAGTAGAAAAGAAAAGACTAGTTAATACACTGGACGTGCTCTGCATTTATGCATTTCATTGAGGAATTAGTTTGGGAGTGTAACTATACTGTTGCAAAGAGACTGTTTTGGGCATCGAATGTGTTCGGTTACTCCATTAGCCTTTCACCTCTAAAAACCTGGATTTGAATCCTGCTTTGATCACAAATGAAAGCAAGGGGTTTGCTTTTTTTAAGTTGCCCGTTGTTAAGTTGTTACCACAAAAAAAATGGTGCAACCACTAGTTGTACTTAATGAGAAACTTTAGATGGAATACCAGGACACACAGATCTGAGCTGAGGTTTGCTGGCAGACTGAGGAGGAAGCTTCTGAAACATCTGTTAGGAATATGTCAGTGCTTGTCAAATTATAGTGAATTGCAATTTCATAAATAAAATACTAAAATTAAAAATTCCAAAGGAATGGATTGAGAAGGAGCCCTCTAACAAGGAAGAACCATCTGGGATGAAGCTCACCAATTGGGCTGCTAAACTGCACAAGAGCCCCAGAACTGTTAAAGAGTAAAGTGACTGGAAGACCTATTGATCAAAGCATGTATGAGCACAAGCAGGATGCAATGAACTTTTTAAATGTTGAAAGTGTCCTTCCACTGTCCATTTCCTAGAGGAAATACTTGAATGAACCTTATACAGTATCTATGTACAGGTGAAGTTTTATTGACACTGTTCTTCTGAGGAAAAAAAATCGCCTTGGGAGGCACAGATATTCTCCTAATGCCCTAATGCCTGTCAGAAGGGACCTATAGCACTGCTGCTGATCTGTGCAGTGTGTTAGTCAGTATTGTTGTTTGATGTTCCTCCCTGCCTTGGTACTTCAGACTAGACTTGAATGAGAGATGATTTTTGAAACAGTTGATTACACTTCGCTTATTACTTTGGTTTTAAAGTTTGACCTATGTGCATATACAATGGTTATTCTACTCCACTTTCAAGAAGGCTGAGCAATGTCAAATCTTGGGTGAACTGAGATGTGATCAAGTGACTTAAGGCCATAAGGCACTTTTTAAAAGGAATTTTGACTCTAAGCTTCTGAAAGTATTATCTTTTGGCTTAGAGATGGGCTTCTCATTGAGACAGAAGTACGTCTCTTCATAACACTTGTGCTCAAATTGTTTTGGCTGCAAAGAAAACTATGCCATGGTTTTATTTTTCTTTCTTTTTCCATATCTATGCGTTAACCCTGACAACTCTTTTAAATGAGGCTCCTGATTACATGTTGGCAAAAGGTACTGACTTCAGTTGTATCCAATATACTTGGAACAGAAAATAGCCAAGACCTTTTAACCTTAACATGTCAAGTTCTGTTTAGTTTTACAGTATCTAAGTAATTCCAGTATGTCCAAAAGTTTTCAAAGTTCAGCGAACAGTTAAAGGTTGTCTCATTCTCATTTCGGTGTAATGCTGGCAGACTCACTAGCTCTGTAAGAACAGCTTAGTTGCTGGCCTCTTCCAGAGAAGATCGAGGACTTATGGGAAACTGACACTCTGGTTGGATAGCCTGTTGATGGGAAGTTTTGAAGTCATCTACTGTGAAACAAGGGACTGTCTTTACTAGTCTTTCCAGCGCCAACCCTGCCCGCCGCCCCCCCCCTCCCCCCGAATTGTCCCCGTATATGACATTGTTTCAGATAGAAAGTGAACACAAGGCTAGAGCCAACTGTTATACTGGTAAAAATGTGGAATCAACATAATTGGATTTGGTAGTTAATCTGTATTTCATGATACTATTGCTACAGAAAGATTCTAATTTGAAATCAAATTTTATTATATTACTGCTATTTGAAACAGGAGTGGCTGGATGAATTTGACTTGTATCTGACAGGAAAGAGGGAGAGAGGCCCTATCAGAAGATTCTGAATTACTTCTAATAGACACCCCTACCCCCACTGTTTTAAAATTACTTCAAGCCCCTCAAGTATTTCTATATATCTGAAGGGTTGTGGTTGACAGCTATACCTTGTAACTGCAAGAAAGGGTAGGTAAGACTACATGCATGATATACAGGATGCTTGTGTAGCAAGTCTACCTTCTCTTTTTTTTTGTTAGTTTAAAAAAAGTGCACATTAACTTAAAAGAAAATGAGAAAGCACTCCATATAGCTTTTGTTGTCCTCCAACTTGTCTTCCATTATTGATGCAAAGATCAAAGTTTTAGTGACAGTTAGAAAGCTACAGGACAGTGAGGAGAGAAGAGGCTTGCTGAAAAGTGCATGAAATGGAAAAGCATAGTCCAATCTTAATTTAAAAAAAGACAATATTTCTCTATAATACAGAAATAATACAACCCAGACGCTTGGCTGGGCTGCTCTGACTGGGAGGGGATGTTGCACACTGGAACACAGACTCTCCGTTCTCTGTAGCGAAGTGCACTTGTACGCCAGAGCTGAGAATGGATGGGATCTGTTTCATATTATCAAGTTAGATGTGGCTCTCTGGCCTTTCCCAGTGTAGTCAGCATAGACTATAAGTCTGCATAATAAGTATCATGGGATTTAAAATAATAGTTTAAATTTATTAAAACAAAGTACAATATTCCCGCTTTTTTGGGAAACATGATCACACCTCACAAAACTGTTCTCAAAACATCCCACCATGTGCCTTAATGTAATCTTAACACTGGGAAAAAATTCCTCTTTACATGGGGGCCAACACAATTGGTCTCGTTAAGCCCTACTTGTTTTCAGTGTTTTGAAGGGATTTAGTTGGCGCATAGCTTTCATACTGGCTCTCTCCAAAAAGCAGAACCATTTCCCAGGGTTTTTAAAATTATGGTGCCATCTCAGAACTGCCGAAGCGCTCAGCAAGACAGCTTTTTGCGTGCCTGTCTTCCATGTCTTGAAAAGCGGCTGCCTGGGGGATGTAAATTAATGTCCTTCTGCCTTCAGATTTACATGTAGTGAGTTAGAGGGGTGTCCAGGTTGGATTTTGAGCTATTCAGCCCCAAAAGTGCCTCTGAGTGAATTCCCCAGTGCTACTTGGTAAGGTCTTGTAGTGATTTCAATTATCTGGTTGATCTGGAAACATTTTCTTCGGATACCATGTAAGATTTCATTTGGCTAACCAATAATGTTAACAGCTTTCTTAATACTATGGAATTGGTTTTATAGGTGAGACTGATCTCTTCCTAGAAAGAGAGGAAAGGGGATTTTTAAAAAAGGAGGAGAAAAAAAAAAGCTTAAAAGCACATAAAAGGAAGGGATGAAATAGAAGTGGAAACTCTTCTTTCTAGCTATTGCCTACAAGTAGATTGTATTTCCAGTCACATCATGTGAAGCATGGGTCCACTTTCACAATATAAACTTAACTAATTTTGCCAAGATGAGACAGTACTTTAAAAAAATGAAAAAAAAATTTAAAAAATCCTGAAATGTGACAACAAAAGTCTGTTCCTACAAAAGCCCTTTTAAGTGCTATAGGCTATGTGACTACATCCTTCATGACATCGTTGTGACACTTCTTAGTTTTCTATTGTGCTATTGAAGCCTATTTTTACCAGAAGGGCATCATTTTCAGATACATATCTCACAGCAGGCAGTCTAACACATCTGATACACTGGTACGAAATCACTGAGGAAATACAAAAAGTGGTGTGTTAAACTTTTCTACGTAATGATTTGTGAATCTGTTGCTGGCAATGGATGTCACAAAACATGCAGAAATACAACCATGGATAACAGATCCATGGTGACACAGTTGTATATGTTGAGATTTTTTTTTTTTCCTCCAGTTGATCTGGGAGAGTATGTATAGAGACAGACAAGCGTCACTGATGAGGAGAGCAAAAAGCAATATACAAGTCTGTTGACCTAAAGAAACAAACCCAAGAACTCTGTTGTAGACTTGTAATTTTTGTGCCTCGTGGGATTCATTCCGTTTGTGATGGATTTACCTTTTAAAAAATTAGCTTGTCTTTCATATGGCTTTTGAAGTTTGTACAGTTCTGACTCTTATCACTCCATAATATGCCTGTCTGTCTGTTCTTTGTTGCTGATTGTCACTGGAATCACACTGTATGTAAATATTTGCTAAGTCTTTGTAAAATGTAATTTATTTTAATATTTTGCAATAAAAATTTTACAATTTATCCTCTCTGTTATGAGAAGAATGGCAATCAAGAAATGAGATTTCTTTTTACAACTCCCTATAGTTCTAACGAACCTCACAGATGAGACTGGTCCTGGTCCAAAGAGCTTGAAGGTACAGAGCTGATAAAGCAACTTGTTTTATGGAAGCAGATGTCTGTACTTGTATGGGGTATTGATGACTTCAGTTCAATGACATCTGGTTTTCGATTAGATACAGCAAAGTATTATTCAATGATGATTTTGGACAGCTGTTGAAAGACAAACAAAAGTTTATTCTAGAGGCTGTGTTTTTTCAGGAGGCTGTTTTTAAGGAAGATGCACTAAGACAGGAAGTGCTAGAATTGATTGGCACTACAACAAGATAAAATGGGCATCTATGACTGCTATCTGAATCTTACGCCAGAACTATTAAAATGTCTGAGTAGCTGTTTATGATTTTTTCACAAGATTTCTAACAGTAGTGCTCACTATTTTGCAGGCTAGAAGTATTTCCAGTCCTTCAACTCCAGCAGTTTCCTTAAAACACTGTGGAAAATTGATAACTAGCTGCCTTATAATGGGTAGCAAAACGTGACTTGGCGATACCCATGATAGAGATGGAGCCATCTGCAGAAACTGGGACAA